GGCTTAATTTCATTTCATGCCTATAAAACATGCTGGGACTTCCTATTGGGGGAGGCCGTATTGTTGGAGAAACAGGGTATATGTGCTTAAATGGAAATGTGATAATGTGGAACTATGCTGTAAAAAATAATGTTTTATTTGCCTTGTTAAAACTTATAAGTAATTTTCAGAAAGGAGGTTTTATGCTTTTATGTCCTATGTTTTGTTTGTCTTTAAAAAATCAATAAAATTTGTTTAAAAAACAAAACAGAAACATTCTAACATTTCTTTAACTGGCTAAGGTTTGTTGAGAGAAAAATGAAAAGTAAAGTAATTACTTTAGTTACTGATAACAGGACTGAGTTTGTTAACAAAAGATTCCAAACTATGTTGAAATTGGCTGGTGTTGAGCATAAACGTTCTGCACCTTACAGACCACAACATAACTCGTTTGTAGAACGAAGAGGGCAAACATTACAAGCCATGGCTCGTACTATGTTATCTGACTCAGGTTTGCCTGAAACACTGTGGGGTGAGGCCATAATGTGTAGTAATCATGTTTTAAACAATGTAGTTAACACAACAACTGGAGAATTGCCATTCACTCATTGGCATGGCAGAAAGCCAAAGTTAAGTTACCTACACACATTTGGAGCTCCAGCATGGGTGCATATTCCCTCACAAGTAAGACTGAAAGGACAACATAGAGCTAAGAAGTTATTTTTTGTGGGTTACGAGGCCAATCATAGATCGTTTAGATTCTGGGATCAAGGCACAGCTCATGTTTATTGTAGTGCTAATGCAAAATTTCTTGAGCACGTTGGGTGGGATAAACTGGAACAGGAATCCAGCAATGATGTTATTATTGACACCCAAATAGTCCCTAAAGATGATATCAGTAAACAACAAATAGCCATCAAAGAGGAAGAACAGGAGGTAATAGAAGAACAGGAGCAGGTGGCACAGGAAAGATCACCAGTTAGCCCTGCATTACCAAGACTTTCAATCCTAGTAACATGACCACCTGATAGATATCAGGCTAGTGTTGTATGCCAAGTGAATACAGTTCCAAGTAACTATAGTGAACTAAAACTGTATCCTGCTAAGGATCAGGCTGCTTGGCAGGTAGCAATGAATAAGCAACTGGAATCATTAAAAAAGTTGGAGGTCTACGAAAATGTTAAGTTACCACCAGGTAAACATGCCATCAAATGGATTTATAAACTGAAAACAGGTGTGGATGGGACTGTTACCCATAAAGCCAGGTTAGTAGCACGAGGGTTTAATCAGACAGCAAATGACTACAATGAGGTGTTTGCACCTAGTCTGAAGGCTACTACATTAAGGGCAGCATTAGTGTGGGCAGCTAAGGAGAAATACATGATAAATCATTTGGATGTAGAGACGGCATATCTGCATGCACCGTTGCAACACACTATATATTTAAAGAAACCTTTAGGTCTCAAAAATGATAATACTGATAATAATGATTGCTGGAAATTGAAAAAGAGTCTTTATGGTTTAAAGCAATCAGGATATGAGTGGAACCAATGTATAGTTAAAGAATTAACTAAAATAGGTTTTGCAGCTGGCATGGCTGATCCATGTTTGTTTAAAAGAGAAAGTAATGTTGTAATTTCATTGTTGCTGTTATTTACTGATGACATAGCATTAATCACCAAAACTGAACAAGAAACTACTAAAATAATCTCACTGTTAGAGAGGAAATTTAAGATAAAACAGTTAGGAGAAATCAAACAATATCTTGGTTTAAAGATGGATAGAACTAAGGGAGGATACAAGATCTCAAAAGCTGATAAAATTAACCAATTACTAAAAAGTTTTAAAATGGAACTTTGTAAACCGGCTAACACACCAGTGAGCCAGGAGTTTAGACATAGTGATGTTCAAAGTCCTATTTTTGATAAGAACATTTATCAGTCTTTGATTGGTAGTTTATCTTTTCTCAGTAATTGGTCAAGGCCAGATATTGCATACAGTGTTAATCAATTAGTGAGATTTAACTCTGAGCCAACTGAAAGGCACTGGCAAGCTGCTAAACGTGTGTTAAGATATCTGAAATAAACAATGCATTATGCATTGTATTTGGAGCCAAAAGATGAACTGAGTTTGACTGCATATGCTGATGCAAGTTTTGCTACAGACATAAATACACGAAACTCTACATCGGGTACTGTAGTATTATTGGGAAAAGCATTGATTGGATGGAGGTCTATTAGACAGAAACATCTAAGTTTGTCAACAATGAAGGCTGAATTCTCATGTTTGTCTTTACTATGTACAGATTTAGTTTTGTATAAACAATTATTGATTGATATGGGAATTGATGTAACAGATTCTATTGTTGTTTATGAAGACAACCAATCAGCAATACAGATGGCTTCAAATATTGCTGTTAAGACAAGAACGAAACACACAGATTTGATATTTAAATGTGAGACAATGTGTGCAAAGTAAGATGATTAAGCTAGAATACTGTATGTCAGAAAACAATATAGCAGATCATTTTAGAAAGGCCCAAGGCTCCATAAAGCATAAGGCTTGCTGTGAAGATTATGGACTTAGAATGTAAGGTTGTATATATTGTCCTACCCAAAAGGGGAGAATGTTAGCAACATAAGTCACCTAACAGCTATTTGGGTTGGAAATATATAAACCAGGATAGACATTTTAATACTGTATCTTTAAGAGAATCCTAAAAGTGTAATTAGGTGTGGTTTCTCAAACGGCCATAAGATGGAGCCAGAAACCTGCTTTGTCTTAGTCTTAAGTCTCAGAAGAGAGTGTGTCTGAGTGAGCCTCTGTTTCCTTCTGTTGGAGAGTTTTGCTGTTCCTCCTAATTGACTGATATTTTTGGATTTGATGTAAGTCTGATACTGAACTGTTTTTGATACTGGTGTGAATACACAGTACTGTATACAGACAGCTGTTTACTGTTTAATTGTGGGTTACTATCCTGGTAAAGATGGCACAAGACACTTCAACAAGTCTATCACTGATAACCCGGTTGGATGGAACAAACTATGTTTCCTGGTCTATGAAGTGCAGTCTACTTCTGTGTAGAGAAGGTTTATGGAATGTAGTTCGAGACCCACCGGATGTAAATGCTTGGGATCCAGCTAATGAGGATGATGCCAAGAAGCTTGCTGACTTTAAACAGAACAATGAACAAGCTCTTTGTATAATTGGACTAACACTGAGTGACCAGCAGCTAGTCCATATTCATGGAGAAGAGTCTGCTGCTAGGTGTTGGGAGAATTTGAAGAGGATTTATGTTTGTGACAGTGTAGGTGCACACATACATCTTACACGTAAACTGTTTAGAGCACGTCTTCTGAAAGGTGGAGATATGTTAGCTCATTTAAACTTCATGAAAAGAATTTTTCAAGAGCTACATGAAAAGGAACTGATATTTTCAGAGCTGCATCAAGTTTACATCATTCTTTCCTCATTGGATGAAAGCTATGATGATTATGTATCTTCATTGGAAGTCCTGCCCAGAGATAAACTGACATTGACTGACATAACCAGAAGATTGTTAGAAGCAAGAAGACTGCTGACCTGCATCTTGTGAGAATCCAGCAGGTGTGATTGGTTTACGGTAAGAAAAGGGGTGTGTTGTGTGAGTCCCTTGGCTCATTTGGGCTAAGCAGAGAGGTTAACCATGTGAAGGTTGGTTCACAGTTCAGGGCCTTTTGTGTTTCCCACGCTGGTTGACACGATCCAAGTCAGTAATTGATTGATTATCTGCCATCAAGTTGCTTTTGACTCTTAGTAACTTCTACTATGAGAATCTCTATAAATTGTTATTCAGGTTTGATAAGGATGTGACCCTATTGCTGTTGTCACTGAGTCTGTGAGGAAGGAAGGAAGGAAGGAAGGAAGGATGGATGCAGGGAGGGAAGAGAAGGGAAGATGGAAGGAAGGGAGGGAGGGGGAGGGAGGGAGGGAGGAAGGAGGAATGCAGGGAAGGAAGAGAAGGGAAGATGGAAGGGAGGGAAGGAAAGAGAAGGGAAAGGAAGATTGAAGGAAGGAAGGAAGGAAGAACGGAGCAAGGGAAGGAAGGAAAGAGAAGGGAGGGAGGGAGGGAGGAGTGCAGGGAGGGAAGGGA